CTTGATCTTCTACAATCTTCCAAGTCTCCTGTCATATCAGTCAATTTAAATTTCTTAAATTTATGATGCTTTTCTTTAATTTTATCTCTTTGTGAGCCAACCTGGTTTTTTACTTGCTGCTACTCTATTCTTTCTATAAGGAATATATGTACCTTGAATATTTAAAAATTTTCCACATCTGATCAGTGTCTCCAAATAACTCGGCTGCCCAATTCACAACAGATAATTCTTGTCGCATCTCTTCAAAATTTGCTTTTTTGAAATTTGTAACCAAAATATCATTATTCCTTATCTCCATATCCAGCAAAACATCGAACCTAATAAAGCAATGATCACTTCCACCCAGATGTTCCCCAATTTCCACCCTCTCAATCATTTCTGTATTTGAAGTTAACAATAAGTCTAAAATAGCATTGTTTCTAGTTGGTTCTTTGACTAACTGGTGAAGAAAGCCATCCTGAACAGTTTCCAAAAACCTTTCTCCCTCATGTTTTGACTCTAGAATTTCCCAATCTATATGCTTGAAATTAAATTCACCCATAATTATGAATTCATGAACAGCTGAAATCTTAATCTCTTTGTAAAGTTTCTTACTAATTTGAATAAGGAACAATACTGATAGAAAATTAAGTATAAATATTGTTTGAATAAAAAAAAGTTTTACTGAATTATACTGTGACTTTATGAGGCAAAATCACTTTACAATATACCTAATGTTTAGCCTGTATCAGAAACTATGAGAAATAGCAACACTACAAGTCTTGTGCTAACAGTTACAACTTGGTTTTCTATTAGCTGTATTAGCCTTGCATGATTAGAATAAACCCAAATCTAACATATACTTTGATTGGATAAAAGTAAAAGTATTAACCATATCATCATCTTTAAATATATATTTTAGGTTATATGTATGTAAAATCAACATTACATTCTAAGAATATACTTTTTTTTTTCAATATTAGTTTTGCAAAAGTCCATATTTTAAGACTGATCAAAACTCATTCAATTCTTTTGTCAATTGTTAAAGCAAATATATCAATCTCATGCCCTTTGCTATTTTCATGTGTTCTCTGCTAAGCTTTTCTTTTGCTTGTTTAGGATTCTGACATTTACTTTTGGTTACTTTAAGATCCCCTGGAGTAGTAGAAAATGTTTTTAGAACTCCACGATATTGAAGAGCAGTAGCAGCATCTGTAGTATCAGTTTCATTTTCATCTACAGTGGAAGATGTTGGCATTTCAGAAGGCCTAGTAACTCCCAACCGTTTGAACACAGAAGGGGTCTATTAGGAATACAAAAACACATTCATTTAAAATTAATAATGAAAAAAGTTAGGCTATGACAGAAAAATACAAATATATTCACTGATCATCTGATTTCTGTTTAAAAATCAACAAAACTACACAGATAAAATTCAAGATATCCTACTTGAAGTTGGTTGATCACATGTACCACCTGATCTAATGTAAGATCATAACAATTTAATTAAATCTTAACTTTGCCAACTAAGACACTGAACACACTCTGGACAGCCAACTCAATTACATGTAGGTTTTTTTTCTTTTTGATGGGGAGCAAAAAATTAGGGGCATAATCAAATATTCATTAGGTATTACAAGAAGAAAATTCTTAAAGCATATTCTTATGATAAAAAATCAAATAGCTGAGCAAAAGATGGTGGCATTGGTAACTGTTAGATTAAGAGAATGTTTTTTTTTTTCTGTTAAAACTTATTTAAGGAGCCATTTTATAGCTCTTACATTTAGGAAAAAGACTGAACTTTAAAGCAAAGCAAGACGGAACACCAAAATTGTGAGTTGACAAGTCAGGCAAAATTTTACAATCAGTCTTTAGTCATAAGAACATAGTCTTAGGGAAATGTATTATATTTTAACTAATATTATCAGTCCTTGTTTTTAATGATGTTATACATTAAAAGAAATAGGTACAATACTGAAAAACACAAAATTCCATGATTTAATACTACATCCTTTAAAGATAAATTAATACAGATTAGTAATCTGCAAGTAGAAATACTGGAAAAGTGAACATTTTGTTTAAGGTATATCAATTTTGTTAGTTAATTTTATTGTTTTCTGTCAGTCAGTTTAAATAGAGAACTTTCGACACTTCTTAATGTGCACGTTTCACAGTTATAAAAAATACATTACATGACTGCAGAATAGTTTCCATTGCAAAAGGCTCTGTCATATGGCTGTCGTGTTCAAAACACACCTCTTCTCCCTGCATACATTCCATAATCCAACTAGTGTACAGGACCCATGGTTTCCTAATGCCCACTTCAATAGTCTGAGTCTGATCAAATAGAAATCTCTAAGCACTGTACCTGGAAACTTGGCAGGTATGTCCTTGCATGGAATAGCATACAGAGATCTGTGATTTTCCCATGTACTGTTGCCTAGGGCATGTGAATGGCTTTTAGCACTGACTTTTATGTTTGTGGATTCTCAACTATTACAAGATAATGCACTTTGTTTACCACAGTTGGGGTACGACTTGTTGCAGGTCAGCTGGATGGTATTGGCACCCAAAGTTGAACCACATTCCTTTGTTTTCCAATGCCATTAAGTGCAAGGCATATCCCCATCTTGTAAATTCTAAATCCTCATCTGAACACATCTTTATGATCTAAGTGTATGAATATTTTATGTTGGAAAATGGCTGTTACGTATTCTTCCCAAAATTAATAATTTTTTCGGTAGCATCACACTACCTACAAAATGCCAAAAAATGGCAAAATATAGTTCAGAAACATTATGTTCCACCATGATTTCACATCATGTGGCTTTTTCATGACTTGCTGAGCTGCATAATCAAAATTACAATATAATGTATTAAATGCTTTGTATTCTTGTAATATGTCATGTTTGTGTTGTGATGTTGTTTTAATAATGTGGCCAGGATGTAAGTACATAATTCTATGCAGTAGCAAACTGCTGTGACTAACTGGTATCCTTCATTGTATTTAAACACTTGACACTTACGCATACCCTTTTCAGAAGTAAGTCTAGTGTGACCTACAGTGTTAGGTTGAATAAAACAAATCTATGATTTGTCTGTGGAGCAAACAAATCAGAATTACACAATCACAGATTTATTAGATATCTTTATGACTGAGTAAATGAATATGTTGTAGAAGATTTGAATGTAACTAGTTTGAATGAATAGCAAAATACAGAATTGGGTATAAATTAATGAGTAATTATTATTAAGTTTATAATGTAATTTTGTTGACAAGTGTTACCACTTTGTCTACTAGCTGCAATATGCAAGAATGGCTTCACACAATTTAGTCAATTGACACCTATAGGTACTGAACTAAAGAGCTTTACTGAAGCAAATATTAGCTTGCTTTAATTTTTTTTACTTCCTTTCTAATGGAATTGGAGAAATGTAAAAAAACAACAAAAAAACTGCTCACGTAGAACCCCTGGTAGCAAATAATGATACTAAATATAATATAGATGTTACGTTGACAGTGTTCATACCAAATATAGAGCATATATGTCCAAACAAATGTAAGACTTGGGAGTCCTCTAGTTTTTAACTTTTTTTTATCTATAAATACTTCTAATGGAAAACAAACAAAACAATAGAAATAATGTCGTAGTATAGGCATACCATAAACCAGTAGCATATTTATTTTATGCACTTGAACACCACAATAATTTTGTTGACAAGTGTCACCACTTTGCCTGCTAGCTACAATATGCAAAAATGGCTTCACACAATTAAGTCAATTGGCACCTATAGGTACTGAACTAAAGAGCTTTACTGAAGCATATATTAGCTTGCTTAACTGTTGTGATCATAACAGGGTTCCCGTAACAGTGAAACTAGGGCAAATGAGAGGAGGCATGCAACAGACAAATTCCACAATGTCAAAAACCAAGAAATTATGCTGTAATGCTAGCAAAGCACTGTACAACAGGCACTTTTGCTGAGCTAGCAGAGACAGAAGTTGACAGGCCTAGTGAAGATATTTCCAAAGTGTGCCATCATAATCCTGCTATTCTTGCTGTGCACCTCTCCCACTTGTCTCATTTCACCCTCTTTGTTTGTCTATGTCTGCTCATCAGGCACAAGGATGAAGTGGAAAATGAAGAAGTAGAAGAAAATGTGGCCAATGCCATATTACTTGCATAGATAAAGAGAATTGTGATATAATGCACTTGCACTTGTTGCAGCTGTTTTTCATGGATGAAGAGACAGAACTATAACAGTTATTACTCAATGATACTGTAGCAGAAGAAGAATAGGACGGAAAAGAAAAGGAAGACTGGACAAGTTCCCAAACATTTTCCAATCATCATTTTTTATTTTCCTTATCACTCAATCATAATGAGATGTTGAATGGGGCACCAATTACCAACAATCCCTAATATGTATTATGAGTGATCGTCATGGGAGGCATGCCCACTCCTTCTGGATTCCACCTACTTACCATCTTGTATTATGAGCATGAGAGGTTGTAGCACACAAAACTATATTGATTTGAGATTTTCAGATCATTCCCTTTTCCAGACTTCAGTCGTTTTTTGGAAAAGCAGATTCCCAGTATGGGTAGGGGCTATTTTGTTCTGGTTGACTCATGCATAGGATGTTAAAATTACATTTATTAAGAAATCTGATCTTTTGTGTACAACAGAAATGTAAAATTTGCTAAAAGCTTGCCAAATTTCAGGAAGATACACATGGTAAACTGAGGATTATAGTAAACATTAATTCTCTAATAAAGGATCTGTCCAACAGATTGATCCCTTGCATGTAAGGTTAATTGAATAGTGGGATTTGACCCTCACTTTTATAATGCATCTAAAGCCTCAAAGCATGTACTGCAATTTTGCAGCAACAGGACATGAGCCATGGACAATGAAATAAAATAATAAGATGAGGAGAGTGACTAATCTTTAACATTACTTGAATTTTGTCTCAAAGTAACAATAGCAATTCAATTTGTACATTCACACTTGATCTTTAATAATAATGATGTTTTTTTAAAATGTAGGTACAGTTAAAACCTAGATTATTCACATATTTACAAGCTCAAAACAAAGTTGTCAGTTGATATAAATTATAAACACTAGATTTAAAAAACCTATGTATACCTAGATTTAGAATGATATGTGAGGACTCTTGAGCTTCAATCTAAACTTCTACTACAAAATTTTGGTTCAATTATTCAAAAAAAAAGAAAAAAAAAAAGCTGTAATTGTTATATATGAGTATCAAGTATTATATGTATAGGAGCAGCAATCTTAAATTATGAAAATAAAATGTACAAGCTATAAATTATGACATAGTTGAAAGTCATTTTTCTCTCTCCTACCTTTTATTTACTCTAAGAGAGAATATTAAAAGTTTGTTATTATATTTTATTTACTAAAAGGAAGAAAGTCATCTCTGTCTGAACTACAATGACCATACTAAAAAGGAAATTTTGCATTCATACCAAAATAACAAAGGAAAACTTGTAAAACTATTTTATTCTACTAAAAATACTTAAGACTGATGTTTGAAAAATACCTTTTGTTCTTCAAGATCAGTTGAGCTGCTGACAGCACTCTCTCCCAGTCTGTCAAATACAGATCGCTTAGCTAAATAAGAAGAATAAAAAGGTTATAAAAGTATTACTTTCTTAGTAGGACAAGTTACAACAAAGTTTAATCTATAAATACACTAAGCTTAGTTATTAAAAGATTAGTGGTTCAATATATAACCTCAAAAGTTATAAAGTTAAACCAGTTTATTGTTCAATAGAAAAAACAGAAATGAATAACAGGTCATTTATTTGAATGGAAAAAAGCAAAATAAAAATTATTACTTGAAATGTAACTGACCAACAATGCTAAGCCAATCTGGACAACTGGTGTGCACTAATCAGTTTGTATACAAGCAGCATATTGTAGGTTTTGGTTGAAGAACAATGATTTAATTCCAAACATTTCTGATCATTTTATTTTATTTTTTCATTATTTAAAAGCTAAACCAAAAGAAACTTTGTAATTCATATTATTCCTCTAAAAATCTTATATTCAATTAGCCGAACAGTTTGACTGATTAATATTAACTTCTTCTTGGAGCAAGCTATGTACTTAGGAGCAAAACTAAAAATCAACCTGGCAATCAGTATATCTAATTAAATATACTTTTCTTACATTTATACTTAAAAAGATTAAAATGTAATGTTTTATCAGTTGGATAATACCATCATTGTTAATATTGTCCAACATAATCCTAATAATACCTAATGAGGTTCAACCAACTTAGGAGATTTAAGTTAGTTCTAAATACATATATTAAGCTGACAAACCAAACTATTTACTACAACAAAAGTATAATAACAATAAATAACAGAAGTAAAAAGTAATGACACTTGAAATATTACACAGTATAACCAATACTATTAATGAAAGTCACAATAATAGAGTAGAACTTACTTTAGAACACAGAAACACTAGATGTTGGCTTGAACTACTGTCATAGAAGTAAATTTCTTTGAAAAATGTAACCTAGTATAACATGCCTGATTTTTCTTTACATTTCTCTAATACGTCTTTTGACCAAATAAAACTCATTAAACCGCTCCTACAGTCTAATGTTAGAAAAGAGTGACAAATTTATGATACATTACTATTTAAACTGCATCATATTAGTACAGTATTTTTTCTAAAGTACAATCAAAAATTAATGTTTATCAAAGTACAAATTTATAAATAAAAATTAATACCAGAACCACCCATGAAAATATAACAATGTTAAATTTAAGAAAAGAACATGCTAAACATACTATGTGTTGTGTCTAACACTATCATTCTTACTTTAACTAACATCTGACAAGCACATAGAGCTGGCTGCAGGAAGTAGTAAATGTACTCCACTAGAACAACAACAGTGGAGTTAATACTGGAGATTGTGAGTGAACCACTGTCATATGAAATTGGATCCCCACTGAGAGAGAGTGTGTGCAATGAGTTACTAGGACTAAAGACAGCAAGAGTGAGCCAGGTGTAAGGACAAGACCACACATGATGCTGTCTGTTTATATTTTGTTTTAGTTGAGGAACTTATAATTTATTGGAATGTGTATAAAAATCATGGTACACAATTGAAGGTGCCATGAAATGCATGGATGATAATAGAGATGACTGAAAAACTCACTATACTAGAGTCTCTGGGCAGACTTGAAAATGGTAATTGGAGGGAGGCATAGACCAGAAGCACAAGAAACTTCTCAATGATGTAAGTAAAGTGAGATGAATGTTTTAGGTGTAGTGCATATACCAACCTGTAAGATCTCCCCCAAAGGCCAATGACGAAAAGAGGTAAGAGAGGCTGTGATATGCTGAACCTGGTGGGAGGAGACACAAAAGAGTGTATGGTCAAACTCACTCAATGAAAAATATGTGAGATGGATGAGCTGGCAAATCCAACCAATTAAAGTGGAAGGGGGCAAGTCTCGAGAGAAGAAGGTCTGCCACAGAAAAATAGGTGATGGTGGTTTCCACACACACATACAAAAAAAAACGGCTGAGCAAGATGGCAATGGACAGCCTATACAGGACACAAAGGATGATTGGGATTGAATAGATCACACAATACAATGTAGAGAGGAGATGGGTTGGAATAAACATCCAACAGAGAATATGGAGGCATAAAAGTCTGAAGCCAGATGTGGGAAGATGATTGCTCACAACAATTAATTAATAAGAAATAATAAGAAAGAAGTAATTAGAATACAATACATCAATGGGGGGAGACAGCAAAACTGTCCTTAAAGATAGCATTCCAACCTTCAATATGATGTATGGACATAATTACCAAGATGTGAAGGTATAACTGTACTAAGTCTAACCTTAATTATTAATATAGCTCCCATCCTCCACCGGCATACAGCAAAAGGTGGTAAAGATGTGGGATGTTTTGGGCTAGAGCACCCACATCTGCTTCTTTTTTTTCCTTCTTTCTTTTTCTAAGTATGTGAGGCTATTGAGGTTAAACTGGATAGAAGTTTAACCTCCAACACAATTTGGGTATTACTTCTGCTGGTGCCTCAAAAAAACAGGGCACATTACATAATGACCTACCTTATGCTTTGTGCCCCAGTGTTGGATGTTTATTTTTTTGTTATTTGTTTCTCTCTCTCTCTCTATGAAATTACATTTAATTATATTTCATCTAAGGGTTGGATATACTGTGTAAAATATTTTTTGTAGCTTACTTAAATAATTGGTATTAAATAAAGATGTGTGTTGCTGTATTAATTTATGCACATGCTCATTTCATTTTATTTGTATTTAATTTATGGACACTAACTATCCATCATGTATCAACTATATTTAGCTTAGCTAGCTGTTTATTAGTTTTTTTTACTGACTACAGGTGTTATAAAATGTAGTAATAAGCAATGCCTCACATGTCCTTTTCTTAGTTCTTTTGATCTGATTATTTATAACTATTCCTTTTGTAAAGTAAAAAATGTAATTTGTTTATTAACATGTGGTATATGTAATATACAATATGTTGGACAAATGTTTAATCTTCTACATTTAAACAGAAATCTGCACTGTTCTCAAAGTAAAAAATAATGTAGTAAATTCAGTTGAATTAAAACATTTCAGAATTCATCCCTATGCTTCAGTAGTGATTATAGTTTTGGAAAACTTAATAAAGGAACAAATAGCATACAAAATGAAAAATGTTTACATTCTTAAACACAAAACTTTATATCCTTATGGTTTGATTCAAGACTATAATGGTACTACTGCTATAAATTTAAGTAATAACAATTGTATTGGTCATTTATTTTGTTTAGATAGTATTAACCCTTTCATGACAGGCTTGGTATAAAATACACGAGTTCGTATACACATTTGCACATGTGTATCTTCATAAAATTTGGTAGACTTTTGGTAATGATTCTAAATCTTTTTACACAAAAAATCAGATTTTTTAATGATATGTTTGTAAAAATATCGAGTCTGTTTCATTACTAGTTTGAGTGCAAAGTGATTTTCATGTCATGATTAAAAACTATTCTTCGTCCAAAAAATCTCACACATTATTTGTGTAATTTCTAAAACCTCCTAAGTACATTTCAAAAATTTGTTTTCAGTAAAACTTTATATTTTGTCTGTTATTTTCTCTACCCTAACTATATGGGGTTTGTCAATTTGTAACCACCGTAAAAAATTAGGAAATAAATATAAATTCTGCTTTTTTCATTCTAGAATGACTACAGATTATAACACAAAAACACCAACGGTTAGTCTAAATAGCTTAAGTCTCATAACATTATACATTTATATATATTTATCATTTTTATTATATTTTCCTTCCAGTCATGCCTGACTAATGATACAGAAGTTACAATGACGTGGCACATGTGCACTCATGTTACCATATCCAATAATATAAAACTGACCTTTAGTGTTTACAAAGTGACCTGTCTTGGCTGTGTTTTAGTGGAATACTATTTTGTAAAATAGACACATTTCAATTATTATACATTATATATGTATATAGATTAATATTATTTACAAAGTTCTTGAACTTATTTTTCTTAAAACACAGAACAGTAAATGAAAAAGTAAAGCAAACAATCATCTCTTCTAGTTACGACCTTTATAATCGTTTGCTGCTTGTTGTAGGTTGCTAAGCCTTATGAAATTTCCCACGTGGAGGATGTAAAAACAAATATTTTTGTAGGTTTTATATATATATAAATTTTAATTAACCAAAAAATAATAATAAATTACTATATCGATACCATAATTTATCAACTGCAGTAACTAACCTGTATTTGGTTCTAAAAAAATATGAAATATCGAGCTCACTAAAGACTTACCTCATCGTTTGAAATCTTGTGTAAAAAGAATGAAATCACTACAATAACACATCAAAATGGCTGAGAAAAAAACACTAGGGGGACATTCTTAGCTTTTGATTGGTTATTCATGTCATATAGAGAAGTAAGTGTATATAAGGGACCATTTCCAAAAATGAAAAGAGGTGGGCAGAGTTTGTGTTTGATTCAGTACAGGAGCGATTTCTTAGGAAATAGAAAAGATAAGACATTCTTATTTTATGTTCTAGCTTGTCAATATCGGTAGTTTGAGTTCCTAATTCGTACAAAACTGTATATTTTGTATTTTGACATCACAAACGTTAATTTGAACCGGTGCTGCATTCAACATACCACGTGACACACAAAAATCTATGTTTAGCTGTGTTTTTTTAATATTTACTTTTAAACTAAAAAATTAACTAATGTATAATACTAAGATTTGAATTATAATATACTATTTGGTACCAAACTTACGGACATAGATTCATAAAATAGTTGTTCAATAAAATTTTGAATGCAAGTCAACAAACGTGATGACATGGCCTTTGACATGTGACTCGTTGAGATAGGGATAATGATTTGGTAATGATGATAAATTCATTAACAGATCAATTTATTGATCTACCTATAAAAATATAAAAATCAACTTTTACTGCTAATAATATTAAAAACATACTCCGTGTCTCCTTATATGATAATTATATTTATTTTGATAAGAGCATTTATAAACAGTTAGTGGGTATATGAATGGATTCTAATTATTGAAGTTGTGTTGCTAATTTATATGTTTATTATTATGAAAATAAATTTAGAAATACTTTTCCCAAGTCTGCAATTATCTCCTTAACATATAGATGTATTGATGATTTAATTAGTATTAATAATTTAGTAATAAGTAAATATAGTGGGTAACATATATCCTACAGTTCTACAGATTATTAGTATTAACAATCCAGTAACAAGTAATTATACTGGTAAAATACATTCTACAGTTCTAGACCAAGAACACCTCCACATCAAATATTGAAGCACATTATTTAAATTGAAATATTAAGGTAATTAATAATTGTAGTAATATTAATGTTTATGATAAAAGAAATGATTTCACATTTCAAATTGTTCCTCTCCAAATAGTAATGTAGCAATAAATGCCATACAGAGTATTATAAATTCAAGTTTCTTAGGTTTTTAAAATTTGTATCAATGTACAATTTTTAATATCTAATATTAATATGTTACTATAGAAACTGATCTTTAATGGCTTTGATGAAAAAACATTAATTAGATATTTTAAAATATTTTATACTGACTATAAAAAGTATTTATATAAATTTGAAAATAGTGATATAAACAAAATTATAATATACACAATAAAAATAATTTCTACAATGTATTGGAGGGGAAATAATTAGAATTACTAATTTGTAGATTTCATATCTTATATAAGTGGATTAATGTAGTTGGATCACCTTCCCTATATAAGACCTGCTACTGTTTGGATCTCTTTGGAATCATTGAAGATGCAGATAGTAGCATGGAAGGGTGGAGGATTGGGGCTATACTTATAATTAAGGTTGAGCTTTAGTATAATAGTACCTTAACACCTTGGTAATTATGTCCAAATGTCATATTGGGGGCTAGAATGCTAACTTCAAGGGCAGTCTTGCAGCCTAGTAATTATGTCCAAATGTCATATTGGGGCTGGAATGCTAACTTCAAGGGCAGTCTTGCAGCCTAGTAATTATGTCCAAATGTCATATTGGGGCTGGAATGCTAACTTCAAGGGCAGTCTTGCAGCCTCCCCCATTGATGTATTGTGTTCTGATTATTTCTTTTTTATTATTGTTTTTATTTTAACTTAGTGTATATTATTTATTTTTTGTGAGCAACCACATTACCATATCTTGCTGCAGATAGCAATAAATGGTAAAGATGTGGGATTTTTGTGGGCTAGAGCACCTACATCTGCTCCTTTTTTTCTTTCTTTCATCTCTTAAGCATATGGGGCTGGTGAAGTTGATGTTAAACTGGATAGAAAGTGTACTCTCAATGCAATTTGGGTCTTACTTCCATTGGTACTTGAATTTGTGCCCCAATGTTTGATGTCTGTTTTGTGGCAAAATTTTCTTTTTCTCTCTCTATAAAATTACGTTTAATTATATATCATTAAATACATCTTTTATTAAGTATTCTGTAAATCAAGAAAGACTCACACAATCCAGCTCCAGGTAAACCTTGCTTTTTAAGAATGTTTCTAGTTTTCTCTGTAGTTCCAATAGGCATTTTAATCTTGTATCCACCTTCATGTTCTGGAAGGACTCGTCTAACCTTTGGAATTAGTGCTTCCTCCTCACTCTTTCTTTTTATGGATAACTTTATCGGTGTTGCACCTAGAAATATGAAATTACACTGAAATAGAATGTTATCACACTAAACACAGGATAAAAACACTTAACTTCACTAAAGAGGTAAAGAAGAAAAGCAATTACAAGAAAAAATGTTGGTCATCATCATTACTTATATTCTAGGTAAAATAATGTAAATATACTTTTTTCCATAATTAATCAGAAGATTTATAATTCTATTTTACATATTTTACTTTAAAAAAAAAAGAGCCTCTTGCAAAATAAGCATATTAGTCCTACTATAACACTGCTCCTCCTCAACATGTATAGATATGGTACAAGTTTTTGAAACAAAGAAGTACTGATATTGCTGTAATAGTGGTCCACATCAAATATCACCAAGTATCCATGTGAATTAACTTTTTTAGGGCCAATTGTAAGATCTCACAAGGGACAAAAACTTAACATGTAAAGATGGTTGAATTCAATGTAATTAGAAAAAACAAAAGGTTGCAGTGATTGGATAAAATTCTTTGAAGCTACAGGTTATGTAGCTTCTGTGAAATAAAATAACTTGTTCTTTTGTGTTATAGTTCTATAAATTCTCAGCTTTGGAAATTTGGAAAGATTTCTTTGTGAAATGTTTTCAAGAAATGCTTCTCTTTGTTGTAGATTTCAATTACTAATTTTTGGTCAAATTATATTGTTGCAAAGATTTCAAGTATATATTTTTTATAAAACTGGATATTGTATTCTTGTTTTGATTTGAAAAATACCACATACAGTTTCTCTATATTTATGATATCCAGTGTCCAATAAACACTTTTTTTTACCATATAAAAATTATAAGCAGGCCAACTTTTTTATATTCATTTATATAAATTTATTTACATTTCTTTCAGTCTTTGCCCATTCAAACTTAGGTTGAAAAGGCCTAATATAAACATAGCCGAAAAAACAGAGGCCTTGTTGGAAAAATGATCTAAAATGATCTAACAATTCTCAAACTGATCTAATTCCACAAAGAAAACATTACTTTTTCTACCATAATGCAATATCATAATTTATACGAAGTATAGAAAGATGAAATAAGCTTTTCACAAGCTTTAAAAAAATCAGGATGTAATTGTAGTGGAAGTTATTTATAAGTATGTTTTCATCTAGCAACATACCATCAACCTAACCTTGTATAATTTTTTTCTAATTTCTGTGCGAGTCTCTACTGAACTGGAAGCTATATTGGTTCATATTGTTGAAAAGAACAGAAAAAGAACTTTTGTTATATGTTTAGATCACTATCCTACAACTTCTCCAAGCTGAAACAGGGGCAATTCACATGCACCATGACAATCGAGGTGGAGAAACTGACTGGCTAAAATCAATAAAGCTATACTTGTATTGAAGTTTAAATAAAATTCAACTTGGTGTTATTTTGCTCACAATTATGTTTACTTTTACCCTCAAGAGCTATAAGTATTGCATTATGTTCAGGAAAATTTTAGGAATTTCACAAATACAAATGTTTTCATTTAGAGAAAGGTGAAGTCAAGACAAAATCAAATCCATAAAATTAAATAAATACAACTTTTTTACAAAATAAATTTCATCTAATTTGTGGAAGAAATACAAGTATTCTTATATTATATTATATAGTATATTAATTCACTGGTGTAATTTTGCTCTCAGACAATTGATGCATTCCACTGGGTGCCAAAGGGTTAATCAGTTAGGATTTTGAAGGTATGCATAATAGTTTGTAATTATACTGTTTAATTGTAACATCCTAAAATAGTTACTTCTTAGGTCATATATTACTAATTTTTGATTTTTCAAATATTAGCTATTTTTTTTTATAAATGATTATTATGGATTAATGTATTAACTCTTAAATTACTCTAACCAAATGTACAGAGCTAGACATACAGTACAATGTTTTTTAGGTTGGCATGGACAATATGGTGGTGGCATCTTTGTTACTTTTCTAATATCAATATATTTCAACAATAAATCATTAAATAATTTTATCCATTACTGCGCATTGAAGGTTAATAATTAAATGTCCTGAGTGTTATTCTTATCAGATGAAACAGTCTTGCACATTTCCATTGATGAAAAAAATCTTAATGTTTGTAGCCAGTAATATAAGGCCCTGAGTTAAGGAAACATCTTTTGCATATCTTTCATATGATTGCATAATCAGTAGTTACTGCTATTCAGAGTCTATATTTCTTGACTCAGTTTGTTTCTTGTGGCTAGACAGTGTAATTAATGGCCTGTCAAAATATTTTTTAAGCCTAAAAGTGTTAAACTGCTTAAGAAACAAAGGTGAAAATAGGCACCAACCACCTTACAAAGACAGTAGAACTTTACTGAAATGGATTCTAATACAGAAAGCAAAGGCCACACCAAAGTAATTTTGATAGATGAAAACTGCCACTCCTATTTTAACATTTTTTTTTGTTTGCAAATATGGAAATCTGAATTGTCCGGACACAATTTAAGTCAAGTTTATAATTATTTTCACATTTTCAGTTTAGCAACGTAAATAACCAACATACTCATAAATTGTAATGAGTGGGATAAATGTTATAACAAATTTATGGAAAATTTCTAAAACTGAACACTCATTAATGTGTCCAGTGGAGTAATTCATTGGAAGAGTTGTTCAGAAGTGTGGTCAGGGACAAACAGTCCTTTCTAGAAACTTAGGTGCAATGTTCCATACCATACTGGGCCTAGGATTTCTTATGAAATTTGTGAAAAAAAAAAAGCAGTGCAATAGATATCCTGATGCAGTTGGCAAAAATCACACACTATTCTCTCAAAATTGATCACCAAGAAAGGTTAACAGCCCACAGAGATTGTAAAATGAAAACAATTCTATTTTAGTATACAGCTAGACCTTCATCAAACTCTATACATATTAATATCAAAACCTGTGAGGAAACTGAGGCTTTTAATTGGTTTCTAAACTGTTAAGCATGAAAACATTTATGGTTTCAAGATGAAATATTTGTTTCCTTCATGAATTTTATTTTTTTAAAAAAAAGGTAAAAAATTTGTAGATCTAATTTTTTGTGTGTAACCTAAGGTGGAGATGTTTCAGAAGTCCTCTATATACAGAAATTTTTCATCTAAATAGTATATACTTATACAATATACAATCTTGTTTTATGAAAATTTGAGTTTTAGAATCAAATCATACCAAAAATAAGCATAGTCCATGAACATTTAAACCTTGTGTTTACTTTAAGCCACAATTAGGCATGATTCCTCACTGTACCTTAATTTTTTTCCCATGCATCTCTACATTAGTCAAGTTTGTGCAGCTTAGTACTGCAGCCAAGCATCACTTAGCCACACATTTTGAAAACCTTCACATTACTACAACCATTTCCATATATATGTATATATATAGTGAATTTCAAACTTGAAATTCCTCTAACAGCTCATAAATGGTTTAATAAGCGAATACACATGAAATTAAATACAAAATGAAGCCAATGAACCATATATGCTTACTTTAATAGAAAAACTCAATCAAAACAATATAAAAGTATACAGATAGGCATTATAGTTTCTTAGTTATGTAACCAAGCATTATCTCAGCCAAGAAGAATCCTATAAGGTGGGAAACACCATTTTTGATGTAAACTACATTTCATACAGAAAAGTAAAAAACATAAGTGAGATAAATAACATTAATTTGGTTTTCTTGCACAGATTAAATCACTCCTATCAGTATCACATTATAACAAGTTTTTCTCATAATGACACAAATTCTTATAAAAAACAAAGCATTTTTTGGATAGTTATTTTTTTAAGATAATTGTGTTTGCTTAGTGCCTTGTAACATGAAGTACTTCATGCTCATGATATTGGGAAAGTATAGAGAAGATGATTTACCAAACTGTGCCGATGTATAAAAGGTGAATACAATTTACATCAAAAATGAATTATTGAGCCAAACCTACATGCATGCTCACTCTAGGATTCATTCAATGAAAAGCCTTACTTTGATGCATTTTGAAACCTACCATGAACAGTTATAGTATAATAGCATAGAAAGTTTCTTCTAATTTTTATAACATAGACTAATATAGACTATAAGTTATTCTAAGTGACTTCAAAGAAAAACAGTAGGTGTTGCATTTTATGCCTGTGATGTGGTCACTTCATGTCTATAATAACTTGCATCTTCAGATCCATTGATGATGTCAGAAAAACATGTAGGTTCAAGAGGTCTTAATATGAAATGATAAAAACACTATAACTCGAGCACTAATAACAAAAGGTGGGCCATTCTTTTTATGGGGTAAACTGAGAATGCCCTGGGAGTTTATCCCTGAAGAAGAAAGGTCCACCTTGGGTTATAGGATTTTATAGGTTTTTAGGATTTTCAGATCTCATTTCAAATCCAATTCTAGATAATGAAACTTTTCTTGAAATTGAAAGTTTAAAGCAAGTTATCATCAGTTATTATTTTTTAAGATACAAAATATCAGCCTTAATTCAATGTTAATATAAATAAATTACACATACATTGTGTGTGTAAAACAGTTAAAATGTAATACAGAAAAATCAAAAACTAGTTGGTTTCATCAAGACTAGATGAAATCTAGGTTTACTCTGGATGATTTATAAATTCTTTTTTTTTTTCTTTTTTTCTTCTGTAGCCATATCTTAGCCACTTACACTTTTGTTTTTTTATACAATACTTGAAACACAATATTAATTTAAACATATAATTTGCATAGCTTACTGCATAAGAAACTTGAATGCATATGTTACATTTTTGCTGCATGGTTTCCATATGATACAGTTAAATATATTACCACTAGTAAATATTACATTAAAGCCTTATGCATGCTTAATGTTCAAAAAAACATGGACTGAAACTACATGTATACTAAGATGTCTAACAATAATTTTAAAAAAGCTACAAATATTATTAGTGAAGCAAATTTGACAAACTTACCAGTACAATCCACAAGATCCCAAGCTTCACCAACATCATGTTTTTTTTTTAAAAGAAACAAAATTTCTAATTTGAAGACTACTACATATGCACAGTGATTATGTATTAGTCATAAAATTTTCTTTATTAAAAAATTACTGTTCCAAGCTCTATATTTTGCAACTGGATATTAGTTAATAGTTTTAACATTAAATAAAAGCATTTGGTTCTACTATGGTCTTGCAAGATCCACAAAAATAATTTATTCTCTTCTTTTACTGCATCCAAACTATTTATGTTTACAACAATGATTAAAAAAACAATTGTGTACAATCTCCAACAAAAATAATCTTTAAAGCCTAATATTAACCCTAACATAAAACCAAAGAAACTAGAACAGTAAGAATGAACACAAAAATAGATTAAGCTAATAAATAATTTAACTGGTCACTGCATAATACAAGATTTACGTGGAAAAAAATGCCTGATGTCATTTTTGTCCAGTTGATTTGATTATTAAAGGTGTTTTTCTGTTTAAAGTTGCAATGAAAGAAATGATGAAAAACTACCTCTGATGCCCAAGAGTAAGTCAGCAAATTAGTTTAATACATATAAACAATACTACAAGGATTCACAAGAGAAACTATGATTGCACAAAATAATTTAAAAGATCTTATTTCTTGGTTTAGTCTGTGACTCTAAAAGTTAATGAAATAACTTAGCCACAGCCTTGATAGCAAAATAAATGGTCGTGGCTGGCTGGGAAATCAAGGATGACTCTCTCATGAAGCTATGGTATATGGTAGCAATATTAAGAAACACCTGCAAGCAAAGAAATTTTGATGGAAGAAACTGCTCTGAGTCAAAGATAAACAAAGATCAGAAAGAGTTGTCAAGACCAACAGAATTGATAAATGACAAAAACATGGGCCAGAAGCACCCATTACAACAAGAACAATGTGTAGAGATCTACGAGAAATGAATTCTGGTAATCAATATTCTGTCATCAGATCTTTCCCAATTGAGAACCTTTGGGTCATACTGGAACATGCTGTCACAGCACATACTTTTTTAACTTCAACCCTAAAGGACGTTGAGACAATACTGTCTGAGGAACGGGTAAAAATAAAACTTAAGGTACTAGAGAAAAACTAGTGTAGTCTATGTCTTGATAAATGCAAGCGGTGATTAAATAAATGTACTGGGATTTTTTTTTTTTTTTTTTTAAGAAAATGCATAGAATTACTTCAATTATTTTTTCTTGGAATGAAATCATGCTGTAGTGAAGGATGAACATACATACACATGAAATATAGTTAACCAGGATTTTATTTCATTGCTCAGACCTTGTTTAAGTCTAGTTAAGCTTTAAGCATGATTGACTTAGCAGAGAACATTTTGGCATATCAATTAGCATAAGTTAGTAGCCCATCTTTCATTAAAAAGAAGCAACAAATTCTGACCAATAATTATACATTAAACAAAAGAATCTAATACAGAGTCACAAAAAGGTAAGTCAAAATGATGTTACCAACAAGGAGAATGATGTCACCAACTTACTTCCAAATGGATCATAGCTGTCTATTTAGCTATTTCTTACAGTGCTTGCAATCAGGTATTTGCAATCCCTTAAGAGAAGTGTTAGCAAATAAAATACAGTATACAAATGAGATCTGATCTCCTGGACATCTTTCTTTGCATCACTGCAACAACTAATACTAAATCTCAACAACAGCATCACCCAAGACTCAAGATACAGCCAATGCAACTATTTATCAACTGACTGTTTTTTTGCAAAAATAAATAAATAATATAGTAATTAAAAGTTACAAAAGAATGAAAAGGCATTCACCAAAAATTAACAAGAAAGATAATTCTGTTGGAGAAAAATAAAACATCTGATGGAAGTTGATAGTGTTTTCTAAAATTTGGAACAGAAGGTTTTATCTTAGTGATATAAACATTTCAAGTATATCAAAAAAGGTGTACACAGATGGAAAACCTGAAGAAAGGTCAAATGGAAGGCATAAGAAACTTCCAAGTCATAATAGTTATAGTAAGTTTGACAAGATGTGGCTGGATAAAGTTCTTTTAATACAAAATATCACACTTAACAATATCATGCAAATGTTTGTGAAACAATCTGGGACCTTGTTCTCTACATGACATGTCTGCTCCATCTGTTTAATCAAGGACTAAAGATAGAGTATTAGCAATAATGTTTGCTTATAATCATGCATAAAACTCACAGCAGGAAACAATGAATCAAAAACATCTTAAAAATTCCTTCTCAACTTTGTTATCATGTTAACAAAAGCAAAATTTAACTAAGCACTGAAACTGTTTAGTTTAAAAACTAAACAACTTTCATACTAAAGTAACAAACACATTGGTGATACAAGCTGTAAAATTTCTCCTAATTTGTTAAGCAAATCTGAAAGTCACTACATTAAACTTTTAACAAAGGTAAACAATATTAATGCAATGTTTACAAAAACATAAAAATCTTTTCACAATAACCTACCAGAACAAGTTTTATTTCCTACAGAAGTAGGCACTTCACTAGCACCCTGATCTTTTGAAGATTCGGGCAGTCTTCGAGTATAACGATCCAGCATACGGGTTGCTGCTGTTTAAAAATAAAATAAACATTTAGAGGTGGGCAATTAGTGGTATTTGTTATTCAATTAATTGATAGGCTCATTAGTCAGATACAACTGATTAATATATTAGTATGCACCTCCTACAACCCTCCTCCCTCAAAATAACTATCAGAAAATGACAAAATATTGATTCTAAACTATTTTTGAATTAAATACTGTTGAAATATAGTTAGAATTAACATATTAAATTGACTTTAAAACCCTGTATTCAGGCACAATAATTTAGAATTAAGTTTTTTTTGTAATCCTAAACTTGTATGTGAAAATGTATCATAAGTGCTACACAACTGCACTGTTTAACATTGAGAAACATTCATTTATCAGTCACCTGTTGCAACTTTTCCAGACTTGTTATTTCAGACAATCTTAACCTAATCTTAACTTATTTATTAGGCAAGCATGTATTTAGTTAAGTATTTTTGGATATTCTTCAAGTAGCTCAAATTTAAAGTTAAACAATATAAAAAATAGAATAACATCAATTTATTTTGTAAAATAAAACTTTTGGTACCTATAACTTCATCTTACAAAGTTTGAAAACTATTATGAAATGAACATTAACAAAACAAGAAAATGTATTTGGAGAATATAGTAGTATTGCATTAAAAAGTAACAATGTTTAACTTCTACATGCTAGATGCAGTAATGTTTAATTTTTACAATGATGGTATAATACCAGATAACTTTTTAAAATTTAGCTGTGTAACACCATAATAAAATATTCAGTATTTCTCATATGAAAGAAGAGACTTCAACTATAATAATATTGTATCTTGGACTCATCAATGTTGACCATATAGTTCTAACACAACCTAAATAAGTCAAACAAATTTAAAATAACATTAATATATTCTATAAATGATTAGTTCATGCTACATATAATCCAGTAATTCCAAAGCTTATATCTTTACTTCTAGCAATGTGTTTGATATGAAAATAAAAACAGTTACAACTATTTAATATTACATTTAGAAACAAGATTATAACACTGGTAAACAGGATTCTTGTTTTTAAATATTTTTTAAAAGTGGTCACTTATAGAGCCATGCCAATTGCATTTTCACTTGTTTTAGATATCAACAATAAGAAAAACATTTTTCTCACAAGAATTCTAATTTCTAAACGATGAAAAGTTAACATTTTCTTAAATTGAAAATGTATTTCTGATATGATATCTCACCTCTTTTCACAAAAAGCTTTCTCGACTTGTACTGTTCTCTATCGGCACAAATTTTTGCTTGCCACTAGCCTTGCTACTTCCACTTATTAGTGCATACTAACATGCAAATGGTCATGCAGCAACCCTTCACCAACAGGAGTGCAACACTACCCCTACTGTCAATCGCTTCGAGATTGTTCCATTAATGGGAGTTCAACTTCATCTACCAACATATGGAATTGTACATCAGATCCATGGTAGAAAGAGGGTTCTCTACCTTTCATCTCAAAAATGGGTACTGGCAGGGAAGAGGAGCTCCAAGAACCCGTCTATACATGTACTCACCTCCAACAAAACCAACACCAGATCCACTTGGATCTGACATCTGGCAGATGGTAGGAAGGAGAAGAGCCCAGGAGGTGTTCATCTTTGATCCAAAACCTGGTACCATCATGAATTTATCACCCAGTCTATGGAGGGAGGAGGGTACCAGACAAACACACCTGAGGACTTATGCAGCTGGACAGTTTCCAACAAGAATCAACATCCTGAGGATGGTAGGAAGGAGGGTGTCTCAGACGGAGGGGCAAAGTGCACTATATATATGGTAAAGTGATACATCCAACACCTGGCAGCATATGGAACTGAACATCAGCTTTGCAGTAGAAAGGGCATCACATCATTGAAACTCACTGAATGCCACTGCCCCACTCTCAAACTTAGTGGTATTGTGTTCACTCAGGAAGACGGGCCTCCATGGTCCATCAACCCAGCAGCTACGAACTGTTAAGTGGTAAGGACTCCCATAATCCACTAAAAGAAGGAGGAAAATAATGCGTTGGAGTGTCTGGAGGAGTGCAGCATCAAAGACAATGCAATGGGTGACCACGATACGCTATATTAAAAAAGCAGAGTGATCACATTGATGGAGTGCATCATCCAACCCCTGGCAGCACTTGGAATTGTACATCATGTCCGCGGTAGGATGGGCATCAAATACTATGGATCATCAGAGATGGGCAGTAGTGATCCCTGTTTGCTTTACTCATGTTAGTCCATGAGTGTACGTTCCAGAATGAACATACTTATGAAGTAAAAGACCACGAGGTACACCTACGAGCTGTCCTGCAGAACACCCCATCTGAACAGTGGGCATAAAATGATGTGTTGTTTTGTCTCTTTTGCTACATTTCATATCAATGCACAGAGGACATATTGGATGGAGTCGACCGACCAACACCTGGCGGGATCTGGAATGGTACATGGTTCGCAGTAGGAAGAGTCTCAATGTCACAGTCATCTACCATGTTCACCAGTCGTACTTTGAAGATTTAAGACTAAGTATACCTCGTCAGGCAACACTAGCCACAGAAAAATGAACGAAGTACTTATCACCAAAGAAAAACAGTTACAGTACTGATGATGGGAAGATGGAAATGTGAAGCCATGAATGATTTGATGAAAAGAAAAAATGAAAAAGGCATCAATAACACTGGTTGACAAAATCGAACATTTTTCTCTCAGCAAAATGTAAACACACCTTTCTAGACCAGTTGTGCACACTGATTCTAAATGTTTTCAGTTTTCTTATAACACATCTAGTTATCGAAACGACTGATGTTAATTTCAGCACAATTTAGGTAATAATCACTTATTAGGCCAGTTAACGTTATACACACCATACACTTGGTTAACTTCATACAGTACACAATTATGAAAAAAAGAAATGTACAACAACTTTAAAAACATTGTGAGTACAATTTTCTTTTGTAAATTTTGTCCGGATTGTGGTGGTATAACATCCAGTAGTAGTCTGCTAGCATACTTTTGTTCCAGAAACCTTTGCAGCGATTTTCCATTGCATGGATTCAAGTGTTTCCCCTGCTTGTCACTCACCGTGCCAAGGTTTTTGGGAAAGAAATCTAGAGGAGAATGTAAAAAATTTAATTTCAAGGACATGCAACAGCCCATTTTTTTGATATGCATTGAGCAGTTTCTGGATTCCATCTTTGTGTGCGAGAGACTTGTGGTTACCCAAGAAGTTTCCAGAAATCCACTTGAAATCCTGCATGGTTTTAGTTTTAAGACACTGAGGCCCCACAAAGATTCCATCCTTCAATTTTGCAGAACTGATGTTTGGAATTTCTCAACAAGGTATTGAAACCCTCTCAAAATCGTTTTACCCATCGCTTTCATAAAATTCTTCATTAAACCGATCTTAATGTAGAGAGATGGCAGGAAAATCTTCTTTGGATCAATTAAAGGAACACACTGGACACTGCTCGTTTCTGGCTTGTACGTGCTTCTTTGATGCCAGTCATGTCTATTGTAATGATCCACAGTATCATGGCTGTCCCATAGGCATAGGAAACAACAGTACTTCATGAACCCTCCTTGCATGTCAATTAACATACCAATGACTTTGAGATCAACACAGATATTCCACTGATGAGTGCTGTACCCTTCAAATGTAATTGGTCACATCATGAAAACTTGACTTGTTAGAGGAAAAACCAAAAACAGATTTGGAATCAGTGTCCCAAGAGCTATCTAGCCCACCTATAATTATATCTTATAAAAATGACTTGTTGGTAAGTGTAATCAGGGGAAAGGGAAGAAAACGGCAGACAAACGAACTGGTGAATTCAACACAGAAGGGTGATAGGAAAAGGTCACGGGAGAGGTGAGGATATCCCAGAAGGAAAACAGTCACAGGAACCATGGAGGGGAGCAGTATGTGCTGTATACCCTCAGAGGTCCCTGACTGGGCGAAGGAGGTGGTGAGATTGGAACAGTCAAGAAGGACAGAAGTGGAACACAGGAAACGGAAGATAAGTACAGAACATAACAAACCTGAATAACAAATCCACCAAAGGGGAGAAGGTCTATGAAAGTCCCCTGAAATGACACGTAACTAAGAGGCATATTCAGAAGGGATGGGGGGGATGGCTGTCCAAATTCAAAACTAAAAGATCCATAAAAACCTTGTTAGGACAATCATCAGTGTGTTCTGATTGTTACATGAAATATGTCAACTCCTGATGGACTGGAGCCACCACTTCATGGGCCAAAAATCATTGTTTCAACCTGTTAGGCGTGGTTGGTAATTCTGCTGCTGCAGTAAAAGCAGTTGGGGTTGAGACCCCCCGAAACTGAGAGTGCATAACTCCTGAAATTGAAAGAGGGGAGAAAATAAAATAAATCGTAACTCTCCAGGAAATAAAATGCAAATAACAAATTAACTGAAGGAGAAATTCACAAAAGTAAAAACATGTGGATAGGTAATTAAACTGCAAATGAAAAACACATCTAATCAGTAGAACTACCAATCGAGAAGTGATTAACATGTGCAAGATTAAAGAGGCCGCTAGTTACAATAGAGGTAGTGTTGTACTTTTATTGGTGGAGGGTTGTTGCATGATCATTTCCACGTTAATATGCACTAATAATTGGGAGTGGTAAGCGAATGAAAATTTGTGCCGATAGAGTTGAGAAAGCTTTTTGTGAGAAGAGATAAGATATTGTATCAGAAATCTATTTTATAACAAGTCTATGTCACAAGAGCTGCAGGTGTCCAAAACAATACTAGTGTCAATGAAAGTTAACATTTTCCAACACTGAAAATGTAATTCTGATAAATACACATCTCTATGTGCTGCCTTCTATATCCAAACTTTTATGCTCACCACTAGCCTTGAGACTCCCACCTGATATTGGTGTGCAACTAAGCATGCGACAACCCTCCTTCGAGATTAAGCAAGAAAAGATATGCCAGATGTGAGTGGATGTAAGTATCTATCAGAAATA